CGGCCCCCACATCGCTCAGTCTGCTCCCAAAGAGTTGCATCTCCTTCATTTAAGAATGTCTTCAAAGGCTTTCCTTCTAGAGCATCTTTGTGGGTGAACAGAATGATCATGTAATCCTTTACATTAAAGTTAAAATTATTGTGGATTAACTGAGCCACGTTTTTTTCCTCCCGAGTGAAACGACCCACCTGCATGACTTGTATAATTACGTGTGGACCTGGGGAGCACCATTTTACACACTTTTCAACTTCCTTGGAAGTTTCTTCCGGTGTGACATTGGAGTCAAAAAATCCAGGAGTGTCAACAACCACCATTTTCCTGCCATCAATTACAGTCTCCTTCTTTTCACATGTTTTTGTCACTGATGTGGGTGACAAGGTAGACACAAAGTTTTTCTGTCCCAGGATGGTGTTTCCTGTGGCGCTCTTCCCAACTCCGGTTTTCCCAATGAGGACAATCCTCAGTTCGGTGTCTAAAACAAGAGAGGGGAACAAGAGAAGAAGCTGTCAGGCAAAGGGAGCCCACTTTTATGCTTCTGACCCAAGAACCCATGAAGCAAGATGGGAAACCCAGGGGCGATTACGCAGTAATAAAGGTATCCTGGGGGCTATGTGTGAAAAGAGGGTGGCTCCTTCCTTAAGGGGCCAAGGCCCCTCCCCAATCCCTCACCCACAAGGCTGAAGGTAAGCTCTCCTCCTCCTCCTCCTCCTCAACGTTGTCCAAACCAGCTCATGCAGGCCTACGATAAGTTTCTCTGGTCCCATTCAAGTTGATCTTGAAGGGCTTACATCACTATAAAGCCTCTAACCTCTAAATACGTTCAGGACCACTGCCTATCTCGTGACTGCATACTTCCCTACGCAGCGCCAACCATGGCTGCTCTTCTTAACTATCTCTGCCGGATCTGCTCAACTTTTTCCTAGCTCACTCCACCCCGTTCTCCGGTTCTCAGGCATGGTGGAGTAAGGGAAAGCAGACGAGAAAGGAACTTCTCGGTGGGTGGCCCCCTCGTTACTGAGAATTTCCCTCCCCAGGATGTCCGATTGATTAGGCTGGCACCCTACTTAGACGCTGGCAACCTCCCTAATCAAACATTCCGTAAGGTTCATACTTGAACTTTCAGGATAAGGAACTTAAAGAAAGAATGGATGTTTCGTTGTGCTATTCAACTGACGACCCCTTTGACAGATGGTCTCTAACCATGACCTGAATCCAAATGCCTATATTTGATTACTACACTTTTAAGTTAAGCTGAAATGATCCTGTTTAATTGCTCTATTCCTATGCTACTATATGTTCTATCCACTTTATTGACCAGCCTATCCTTTAACTAGTCCTGCATATTGTCCCCCTCACCCCCCCCCCCCAAAAACCCACAAGAACCTTGTTCATTATTGTTTATGATGTTTTATGCTATTTTAACTTGTTATTGTACTGTTTTTAATTGTATGTTGCCTTAGGCTTGGCCCCATGTAAGCTGCCCCGAGTCCCTTCGGGGAGATGGAGGCGGGGTAGAAAAATAAAGTTGTTGTTCTACTTTTTCCGCTTCTCCTGCTCCCGCTTCTTCTTCTGCTGCTTTCTCTGAGAAGGGGGAAAATGGAGTCTTGAGAAAGCCCCTGTGCAGACGGCTGCTCAGACATCAGCGCTATTTCCCGGCCAGTATATTTATCGCGGGCTAGTACAACGGAGTACAGGTGTTCTTAAATAAGATGGTATGTGGAAGATCGTTCGCCAGCAGACAAGAGCATAATGCAATCTGAATTATTCAGGTGTGGGAATCAGGTGAATGTGGAGCAAATCAAGCATAAAATGTGGTGCGTTTGTTCGTGTTTCATGACAACTATTTGAGAGTGTCTCATTCATTGCACTTTATGCACGGGTTTCACATGTTTTAAATGATATTGTAACCTTTACAAACATATCAGAATTCAAATTCATAACAGATACATGATCCTGTATATAATATTCTACAATGTTTCTGTATTGATAGTCCAAATTCGATCTATTATACATAGCCCGTCCCACTTAGCCATACAGCTCTGGCCCAGTACTGTGTCTATGCCGTTTCGTAGTGTTCTATATTGTGTCGTTTGCCATATGGATGAATTGTATGTCGTGCTCTGCCATATTGTGTGTTGTATTCCCCGGCTTTGGCAAACACCCCTCCCATACGAGGTAGCGATAGCCCCATCGCTGATGGTGTCGTTAAAAGATTGAAGACATGGATTTTTAGACAAGCCTTTGATTTGATGACTAAAGGATGTAATCATGGACGATGAATTTTGGATTGCGACTCCAGTTACGAGATGTATGAGATTGTTATTGGTGGCCCAATAATTTGTATTGTATATGTGTTTTATGCTTTTAAACTGAATATTGTTTTTAAGTGTTGTAAACCGCAATGAGTCGCCGACTTAGGCTGAGATATTAGCGGTATACAAGCGCATAAATAAATAAATAAATAATAAATATATAGTTTTGTGCATGCATTGTAATGTATTTTTAATTATTTTTTGGCTTTTAAAGTCCCTTCTGCTATGTTTTTCAGTGTTGTTATGAGCGATGGTCACTCATTGACCTGATAGCTATATTGTGTCCAAATTTGGTGTCAATTCGTCCAGTGGTTTTTGAGTTATGTTAATCCCACAAACGAACATTACATTTTTATTTATATAGATAAGCCATCCCCTGCCATGCTTTGCTGTGGCCCAGTCTGTGCATATATGTGTTTTGTGGGACTGCATATATGTGTTTATGTGTGTACATATGTGTGTGTATATAGTTGTGTATATGTGTATATATGTGGTTTTGCACATGCGTTGTAATGTATTTTTTATTTCTTGGCTTTTTAAGTCTTTTCCACTGTGTTTTCCAGTGTTTTTATGTGTGATGGTCACTGGGTGGCCTGGTAGGTGTGTTGTGTCCAAATTTGGTGTCAATTCGCAGGTTTTGAGTTATGTTAATCCCACAAACGAACATTACATTTTTATTTATATAGATCAACCCAGTTTGATATTGCTATACCTGAATGTCTTCAAGGACTTTAACCCCCTGGAGAATTGAGCATCCCTTAGTTAGTTTCATTGGGTTTACCTGGTTTGGGGGGCTCCTTTTTGTCACGTTTCCTTGCAGACGCCCCTGATTCACTTTCCTCTGAAGATGCCCCATCTGCTGTCTGCACTTCCATCTCCTCAGGAAATTCCATGAGATACGGCCTGTCCTGATTCTGCCGCACCATCTTCTCAATCAGAGAGAGCAGCTCTGTGGCTTGGCGGGCCCTTTCCTCCCCTGTCAATTTGTTGTTGAAGGCACAGCATCGACCCTGGCATCGCTTGACCAAATCCTGCAAGGCTGGGTTGCCCGATGTCTCTACATAATCTTCTAGGCCATCCTCTGTGTCCAAGTCTTCCTTGCGGGTGAACAGGACAATCATGTACTTTGTGGCCTCCTGGCCAAAGAACTCCTCCACCTTCTTCAAAGCCACGATGTCTTCCTCAGTGAAACGGCCAACCTGGGTCACAAACACCAGAGCGTGAAGTCCAGGCTTGGCCAGATCTCGGCACTTCTGGATCTCCTGGGATTTCTGTGGTTCTTGGAGACCAGCATCAAAGATGTTGGGAGTGTCGATGATGGCAATCCTCTTCCCCTTCCAGTTCTCTGCCCGTTCTTCCTTGATGCATGTCTGGGTCACTGGCTTTGGCGAAAGTTCAGACTTCAGCCTCTTTTCCCCCAGAATGGTGTTCCCGGAGGCACTTCTCCCTCCTCCCGTCTTCCCCACAAGCACAATCCGCCACTCCCGTTCCTCCTCGTTTGCTCTTCCGGGCCCTGAGAGGGACAAAATCAAGAGGTTCAGCATCACTGAGATGGGACTATAAGTGACTTTTGAAATGCAGCCCAGTCGTATACATCCCTCCCTCTCTCTCTCTCTCTCAATGCCTTTGACCAAATGCTGTACTTTCCTTGGGTTTTCCTATAGCCAAAATCATGCTCCACCCAATCCCAAAAAGTAAATTTAAAAAGTAATTTGAGGATGGGGATGACGTGAGATGCAATGTCGCAATGTTGGGGGTGAAAATTAGCCCCTGTCTGACGTTCAGTTTCTCTCCTCTATTTTAGGATAACTTAAAGCAAATAAAGAATGCATTTTTCCTCTGATAAATTACTGATTTGGTGGACTATCCTTTTTTTTTTAATGTTTTATGGTTTTATCCCACTCCCACCCTCCCCTCCTTATACATGCAATTTATACATCAAACTACAGAAGTTACATTTGAAATATCAGTCTCAGTCTAAATTCTACAATATATTATAACTGGGTTGTTGTAGGTTTTTTGGGCTATATGGCCATGTTCTAGAAGCATTCTCTCCTGACGTTTCGCCTGCATCTATGGCAAGCATCCTCAGAGGTAGTGAGGTCATAGATGCAGGGGAAACCTCAGGAGAGAATGCTTCTAGAACATGGCCATATGGCCCAACAAAACCTACAACAACGCAGTGATTCCAGCCATGAAAGCCTTCGACAATACAATTCCTAACTGGTTCTCACATCCTCTTGGTTATTGTAACCTTTTCAATTTTTTTCCAAATATTTTTAATTGGTTTTCTTAGACTACATCAATACATCAATACCTTCAATAATCTTATATTCCATCCTCAATTCATTACATCAACCAAAGTGTATATATATCTTGTATACTTCCCCCCCCCCACCTCTGTGCCCCCCCCTTCCGAGCCACTTCAATTTGCATTCTCTTTCCAAAATACCATTTCTTCTTGTGGAGGTAATTTCCCGTCTACTTCTTTTAAGCCATTCTCAATAAATTTTCCCCAAACTTTATCAAAATCATTTTCCTTCCATACCCCTTTCCTGACTCTTAACCTACATGTCAATTTATCATTTATTGCTATTTTCCATAATTCTTTATACCATTCTTCAAGTGATATGTTTATTTTTCCTTTCCAATTCTTCGCTATCAGTAATCTTGCTGCAGTTAATAGGGCTGGGCGATGTCGTTCGTTAATTTCGTAATTCGTTATTAATTCGTATTTAAATTAGCTTACGATCCGATATTGAGCCATACTGGAATATTGTGAGAAGTTTTTTAGATTCATAACAATTTTTACAATTTTCGTAATTATTTTGTAATTATTTCCTATGTCTGGTGCAAGTTTTACAATCTCTCCGTTTCTCTTCCCTCCCCGGTAGCAAGCTAGCAAACGGCGCATTTGCCCCACTTCCAGACTCTCCCCTCCTGCCAGCCACCTTTGCTCTGCTGCTTCCCTCCTCTTTCCTCATGCTGTCTTCCTGGCCAGCAGCTTCAAACTATTATTACTATATATCAGGGGTCTTCAAACTTTTTAAACGGGGGGGGGGGGGGGGAGAGATTACTGTCACAGCATGGGTTCTTACTATAATATAACAGCAGGAAATTCATGAATATGTTTACTGATCAGTCGATCAGCCAAACTATCAGGAATGTGGTCTCACATAACCCAACTTTCCACACAGCCATATAACTAATTCCCCCAATACGTGCTTTAAACTGGATTATATGGCAGTGTGGTCTCACATAACCCAGGACCTTTCCACACAGCCATATAACTAATATCAAAGCAGAAAATCCCCCAATACGTGCTTTAAACTGGATTATATGGCAGTGTGGTCTCACATAACCCAGGACCTTTCCACACAGCCATATAACTCATATCAAAGCAGAAAATCCCCCAATA